ACTCCAGATCCCAGTACACCCAGAAAGCTAATTCTGTGTTTCGCCTTCAGTAACAAGCAGAATCTCTTCTTCAATATCTTATTTACATCTGAATGATCACAAACCTGTTAATTTCTCTAGCCCATCCTCATCAGAATATTTTTTGTAACAAAATATTTAAAAGTACATTTATTACACATAGTGAAATGCTGATCAGAACTTCTTCTGGATAGATGGTAAAACAGGCTGGATCAGAAAATTTTAAGAATTACTTTCTTCATTCTCCCATACATCTTGGTGCCTTCTCCTGACTATCAAGTTGTCTACAATTTATATGGATCTTAGGTATATAGAGGAAGACAGCTAGAAAGTCAGAAAGCACCAGTTGGTATTTCTTAAAGATCTGAGAGAGGGTACAAGAACTTATTATAGGTGAATATCACCAGATATATAGTTTGTCGGGTGTCTTTTTGTGTATGATGGAGGCAAACTAAGGAGCAGTTTTCTGTACATCAAAAAGTCTTCTATTTATTGAAGTTTTGGAAAACTTCAGATTCATCAGATTCATAAAACCGTAGAACCTCCTGCCTTAGGTAGGAGGAGGCCTTAAAGCCCACCCAGTCCCAGCCCCCTGCCATGGGCAGTGCCCACCACCAGCTCAGGCTGCCTAGGGCCCCATCCAGCCTGGCCTTGAGCACCTCCAGGAATGGGGCACCCACAGCCTCTCTGGGCAGCCTGTGCCAGTGTCCCACTGACTCTGAGTAATGAATTTCTTCCTAACATCTAATATACATCTCCCCTCTTTCAGATGATTAAACCCAATCCCCCATGTCCTATCACGTTAGTTATCTACCTTTAATATCAGTGCCTGGTTTGGGTTTTAGCACAATTAGCCAAACAGTATCACAAATTGTTAATAATTTTTAAATGTCTTAAAGGAAGAGATATTTTTCCAGTTATGAAATAAACTCTAAAAATTTTGGATGTGTGTTTTTTTCTAACACATAAATATACATCTGCTTCAGGAGATAGGCAGAATTTCTACACAACAATTAAGGTTATTATTGCAACATCTGAATAAATTTGATCATTTCTCTAGTATTGTTTGGAAAACGTAAATGTTTTGGTTTTTTTTTTTGTGGTAGAGGATTTTTTTCTCTTCTCTTCTAAGGTACCAATGAAATGTTCCTCTGGGAAAGTTTGACTTAATTTTCAAGATAAATTGAGTGATTACCACAGGTGATTTGAAGGGCAGTGGGTCTTTGTGTACCCAAGAAAAGAAGAAAGATTACTATACATTACTCCAAGTCAAGAAAATAAAAAGAAAATGAGTCTTCTGAAGGAGAAGTCTAAAATATTCCATAATTTTTTTTCACATTTTTAAAGTCATATTCACATAAATTGTATTGTGAAAGTTCCATATTCCTTTTTCTTTCTGAGATTTGGCCAGAAGCCTAGTGGATTCCAATACTCATTGATTTGCCTTCCAGAGTCATTCTGTATCTTTCTTATTGTGGGAAATAGTCATTTTTAAAACGATGACCATCATAAAATCCTAAAATTGATTCCAAATTTACTTGAAAGAGTAGACTAAAAATACTTTTTTTTTTTTTCCCAAATAATCTATTAGCAGTATATATGTTTGTAAGGGAGAAGAATACGGGCAGTAAAATTCCTAGATCTGAACTCTTAGTTCTGATTTTCATTCCAAACAATAATAAAAAGTTTTTGGTCTCCAATATCTTAGCTCAGTTGTTGCAAGATTAGGAAGGACAGTCTTACGATCCTGAAACTGTACAAGCTGCTCTAAATGTTATGGGGCTATGTCTGGGAATCAATCAGTTTTTCTGCTCATATCTACTTTTAATGGGCATATTTTTTCTGCAATAAAGAAACATTTCCTTCAGTCTTGTAATGTTTCTTCTGAATATTTCTTGCTTGGATGACATAAAGTGAGTTATTTGTGGCTTTAGGAGGCAACATCTACATGGAGTTCAAACTCAAGGTGAATTACATTCATGTTGTGAAATGCAAACACATTTTTTAAAAATTTCCACTTCCGCTCTCGGATAGAAGGTAGCCCTTCTACAGCTCAATACAAAACTTTTCTCCAAACATACAAAAGTGTTCAGAGATCAACGGAGAAGATTCTTCAAAGCGAATCAATATAACTAAATTGTCAAAAAGTAGCAATGAAAATTCATTAATTGAAGCACTGAGATATCGAGTGTGTTACTGATATCTTAGACTAGAACATTTAATGAATATTCACTGTGACAAAAAGACAAAACAAACAAACAAACGAACAACTGTGATTATTTAAGTGCATCAAAAAGTAAGAACAGTGAGATATAAATTTTTTAAACTCTGAGAATCATTATTCGTTTTTATGAATTTATTAATTCATGTGTCAGATTTATCATTTGATTTTCAGTATTACTAAAAGCATAATAATTTTGTAAAGAAAAATTTCTAATATTGTAAGTCAAAAAAGTGATTGCAAGCAGAGGCTGATTTGGAAAGAAGGATTATATAAACTGAAAAAATGGTTCTTTTTGGTTTAGTGGGGATTTCAGAGCTTTAAAGAAATAGGATGAGGAAAAAACATTCAAAAGCAAAAATAGTAAGAATACCAGAAAGTAAGGATATCTCAGTTTCAAAGAAGTCTGAATTTTAAGTAGTATCTATATTGTGTTATGGTTTGTTGTCTAGAAGTTTACACTTTTTGCTGTCATCCCTGTCTTTTTTTCCTCTCTTCTCATCCTATGCATGGATATTTTTTGTAACTGTATTCATCCTGAACCTTCTATCAGGAAATGTGTACAGGCACTTTCTGGATGCAGTGATGTCTTTAGAATCATAAAATCATAGAATCCTTAGAATTGGAAAGGATATTTAAAGGCCATCTTGTCCAACTCCCCTGCAGTGAACAGAGAAACATCAGTATCAGAACAAGGGAGGAGACCAAGTTCCTCCTGCTGGATAGGAGTTACCAATATCCTAATCACTTAGGACATTTTTGAGATCTTTGGTGTATGGTTGCATAATATAAAACATTTAGAATGTAACCACAGTGGACAGTAATTTAATTAAATGTCTTGTAGCATATTAAGACAATTATTGGATTTTTTTTTTCATTTGACTATTTAAGCATATTGCTTCAAGTCTTTATTTTCATTCTTCAAATGAGTGCAGTGATTTGAACTGGTGTTGCAAAAGCAACTTTAGGTTTCTTAGTATTTCTAGATGTTTTAGTGGATCTTTTGAAAAGAAACTGATAAAAAGAAAACCAGGTTCCCCATTCAAAGGTAGAATTCAAATCGTAGGATCGTGAATTTGTTAAACTAAATTCATTCTGCTTAAAATTGAGAGGAAATTGTAGTAATAATAATAATAATGCACAAATAATCCCTTATCTGTAGATTAAAGGAGTCTTGGGATATATGTCAAGCTCATAGTGAAGGAATGCATGAACCATAAATCCTGTATTTTATGGGTCTGTAGTATTATTTCTCCCATTCGTTTTTGGATGGGTTTCACACATTTTCAGCATGAATCAATAAGATTTTTCACCTACGGAGACAGAGGGAGAAATTCATTTGCTACTATATAGATTCCAGTGACATTTTTTGGTACCAGCAGTCCTGTTAGCTGGTTTACATGTCATGCACTGAGACATTTACATTGAGCAGGAATATCTGACTTGCAAGAAAACCTTCCCCTTTTGCAAATGCAGGTAGACAGGATAAACAAACATAATAAAATGGCACTACGTGCCTATGTTCAGGCTGCTGAATCCTTTCCTAGTTGGTTTCTTGAAGTAACTGTTTCATACCAGGGAGACTTAATTTCTTTCTAAAACTATATCACAAGTCTTGCTTCAGTCACTGGTTTTGGAAAAGAGCAAAATCAACACCAGTGAACAAAGGAACGGTGAAAATGATTTTCTAGATCTCATTCTAGAGACTTAAATGCTAATACTCTGTGTACCCCAATTACTTGTTCAGCGATGGGCTGAGTATGGTCATTCTATGGATTTTTTAACAGCTTGCTTCTTACGGAACCCATCATGAGTATGACAATGTTCATTTATTATTTTTTGTTGTTTTGAAATGCTTGACTTGGTGAGATATGTGAATATTCCTGGTATCAGTAAGAAGCACCCTGCTGATTACTGGCTAGTTTTCACAACATTTATTTGAGAACATTTCATAATTCTGTCCAAAACTATTTCTCCTGCCGATGTCATGAAGCAAGAACTGGGAGTTTCTGTCTGATCTTTTTTAGTCCTGGGAAAAATAAATGTAATGCAAAGTAGTTCTGTAACTCTAATTCTCTCTGCCCATTATTGTTTATATTAAGGCTCATTTGAAGTACCAAAAGCAATTGAGAACATAGAAGTCAAAAAGTCTGTTTATGATGTGTTGAGTATTTTTTCTTTAATCTAGTGGTATATTAAGTAGAAATTATTATATTTTACTATCAATGAAATAGCTTAAATCAGTTTCAAGGGTTTATATTGTACATAGATGTTAGAAGTATAAGACTTAAAATCTGATGCTGTTATTATGACATTATTATTCATTCAAAATCGGGGAAAAAGACAAAGATTGAACTCAGGGATGGATGGGTGGTATGCAGATTGTTCTCTGCCTCACATGAAATATACAAGATGTAAAAGTGAAACAAACTGAAGAAACTAATGCTTTTGTGCTTTGTTGCATCTAATAGGCAAAATGTATGAATGGAAAAAAAAAGATTTGTGGTAATTTTTTGTGTGTTTCCAAGTTAAGGAAACTAAATTTTGCTTAAGGATAACACAGAAAAGATTACCAGCTAAAATTTATTAGAAGATTAGAATAAATTTTGTATTTGATATGATCATATCATTCTTGAGAAGAGCAGCAGTAGATTAAGAAGTTCAGCCAAAATTCATGTTCCTTAGGAGAGTATCAGGGTCAGTTTCAGAAATGTGATTTAAAGTACTTGGGTTTTGATCATGTTATATTTTATCTTCTTAGGAATGGCAAAATTCTATTCAGAAGAATGCAGGACTTGCATTTATTGAACTCATCAATGAAGGAAGGTAATTAATTTTAAAGCTTTTAAAAAAGTAGCCATTTTGCATTTATTCCATTGGGTGATTATACTTTTTCACCATCTGTTCCAAAAACATTGTGAAAAGGCCATATTAATCAAGAGATCTACTGTATAGGTACTTTATATAGCAAATATTTAATTTAGAAATGTACAAATTCTTAAATTTTCGTTTATTGGCAGAAGGAAGCAGAAACCCAATAAACTGTATAGATGTTCGGATGTATTTGAGAATTTAACCACCATTTTCCTGAGCAGCAAGGTTGTTTTATCCAGACAGTCCAGAGAGCCCAATCTGTAAACCCATCTGCTGCTCCATCTGTTTTAGAAGCACAGCATTTATTGTACAGATGCACATCTTGAGGATTTTATCTATCACTTCATGAGGATTTTATCTAGAATTTCTGGTCTGATTTTAGTCCTGTAAAACACAAGACATCATGTTTGTAAGATCTGCCTTGCTTTTGCAAATTGTTAAGATACTTTATTATCAATCCTCAAGTACTTCTAATGCTGTATGTGTTTTTATCTTCTACGCTTTGTAATGTTTGTCAGTACTTCCAGTCATCCAGCTGGGCAGCAGTGGGGACTCTATGGCGAAGATGGTAGTGGAATGCCAAAGACAAGCGCAGCCACCTGTGTAATCTGTGTCATGTCTATTGGCCAGTAAATTAAATCCATACAAACATAGATGTTTTTATAAGAACAGATGAAATATATATATATATATGCATATATCACAGTATGCCCACTGAAGAGATTTTGTTGTTTTATGTCTTTGTCTTCTACAGATAGTATGTCATTACCAATAATGAAGTATCAAATCTTCTCTTTGTTATAGGATATTTTTTTGTCTAGCTGGTATTTCAGAGATTAAGCCATGCATTCATTTCAAAAAATTGGAAAACATATCCAGTCTTTGGGTGGTGTAAATTATCTTAGACTCTCTACAGGCACTGAAGTTATACTACAATTATAGCAGTTTGAAATGTAGTCTTTTCACTCGAAATTCTTTTTGCTAAACATGTCCATTTCATTTTACACCATAATAAGGCTCACCAGAGTGAGTTAAATACTGCACATTATTCACTAAATATTACATAGTGTTAGATTGAATTATTATATTATGTATTTGGATAGTAGTAGAGAATCTCATTTTTGTTTCTCAACCTGGCTAATGAGATATTACTGATTGCTCACTCATGATAAAATGCTCATTCAGAACAAATAGCACATCTGCATATTTTTAGCAATTAAGTATTCAGGTATCAGTGGATCATCTTCAAAATGAGGTAATATTTAAGAGCTGTTACTTAAATGCAATCAAAGGACTGTCTAATCAAACTGCCCTTAGACACATGTTCCTCCATATACTTTTGTCATAAGCATGTCTTAGAACAAGTGTGTGCACATTGCTAGTATGCTCATCTTTGCAATCAGCCCATCCGTTTTTAATTTATCCTTTTGGGGATAAAGATAACAGTCTTTTAACTGGAAATTGTTATAAATATTTATTCTACTTAATAGCTAAACTTGTGAATGCAATTCATCAATCATAGCTAGGGAATGCAATTGTGCAACTGTCAACAATTAACAAGACATAAACAGTTGATGAATGTGCAGCTGAATTAAAGTGCTCCCTAGGATAACCTGAAATTATAAACTGGATCATTTAAAAGAATCTAACAAAGGATCTTTATAATTAAAACAAAGCAGGGTTAATGGGATGTAAAATTGCATATAATCGCTGTGCAATAATGATTGAATTTTAAATTATTAAAAGCAAAATGAAGATTAAGAATAATTTTAAGGACTTTCTGGGTAAGGTTTCTTGAACAATAAATCAACAGTTTTGAGCAAGTTTTTCATTTGAAGGTAGAGGGTAAGAATTATATAATGTGGCTGTTCATAATTTTAGAATCTTCAGTTAGATGTCTATCTGTTCAGATATGTGCATGCTACAAGGTGATTTTCTGAGCACCTAACTTTTGTTTGTGTGTTAAGTCATTTGAAAGCCTTTCTGTTCTTAGACTTTATTAGACATGTTCTGAAATGAAACATTAAAACTAGTTGTAGTAAAACATAACAGTTTTTTAAAAATCAAGATATCTTTTTGTCACTTTAATAAGCTGTGTTTTCATTTTAAATCTGGTGCTTCACTAGGTTTGTATCTTTTTTTTTTTTTTTTCTCATTTTATGCAGTGTTTTCCTAGGAACGTCTGAATTATGCATATTCGTAGCATCTAGATTATAAACAATCTGATAGAGCTTTGTTTATTAGTCCTGAATTTTTTCTTTGTATATTTTCTAAAAAAGCCACCTCCAAGTTAGATTTTCTCATTTATAAACTAAAGATACTAATTGTTTACATTAGATAGTTATGATAAAAATAAGTTACAATACAGATTACTGTGTTTGTGATTACTAAATAGTATAAAAAATAATCTGTTATAACAGTTATTACTTTAACTAGAGCTACTAATAATACAGGAGTATCTGACTATGGATTTAAGTTAATACTGTCAAGAAAAGTAAATATATATGCAAACACATTTAATTTCAGTGTAGAGTAACACCTTTTGTAATGTTCTTGAAAGATTTAGATCCATGCTGCTTATGATCTTGAACTTTGAGCTTCTTGTTTTTGTCAATCTCATGCTATTAATACGTGATGTTGAGAGTATCACACATGTCAAAAATTTCACTGATAGCATCTTAATTAGTATTCTAGATTTTCATTAGAGTATACACACGAGAAGAGTTCTTAAATTATGAGCTGGATGCATCTGACCTGTTGGCTGTGAAAGAGGACATGGAAAGAGTTTGTATAACTAGGAATGATGAGGATGGGAGATGACAACCCACGTTTAAGTGGGCTGATGATGGAAAAGATCAAAAGAAAAAGGGTGCAGGGTGACAAGAACAAGAGAAAGTAGGAAAAAATACCTCAAGTAAATATGTGAACAACAGCATACAGCCTGAAAACAAACAGGAGAAATTAAATCCGTATTCAGTTACAAAACTGCATCAATGAAATTAAATAGATTTGGTGGGATAGCCAACTCTACATTACAGAAATGCTGTGGTGGACAGATGTGAGTTCCTCAGGAAAGACAGGCAGCGGGAGTGTATCGTTCTATGTGAAGGATCATCTCAAATTTATAGAGCTTTTCTGTGGGACACATACCAGTCTGATGGGTAACTTGCAGGAATGGACAAGCAGAGAAAATATGATAACATGGTATGAAATTACTTCAAACCACCCGTTCAGTGCAATGGAACCAAAAAAGACTTTGAGAGAGAATTTGAATCACAAACACTAGTTCTAATGGAGGTCTTTAGCCTTCTGGAGATGTGTTGGGGATATAATAAGGTGATGTGCATGCAGTCAAGAAGATTTCTGGAGGATGCTGAATATCATTTCTTCATACGGGATGAACCAACTGAGAATGACACAGTTGGATGTGAGAATTGGGTTTGGATGTGGCAATTAACATAAGCTTTGCCCATAGTGACTAAGATATTGGAGTTCAAGATACCAAGGGAAGTGAGAATGGAGAGCAAATTAAAAACTTAATTAGTGCAGATTTTAACTTGTTTGGGAAAGTCCCAATAGGGAGGAAGATTTGGAGGTGAAAGTAGTTCCAAAAGGGTGGCAGGCCTTTACGTATAGCATCACACAAGTATAAAAACATGTAGTCCTAGTATTCAAGTACAAGAGTATCAAGAGACATATTTGTCTAGTCAGGGAATATATAATAGAAATGGATGCAAAAGGAAATTAAACACGGAGTAAGAGGTAGGAACTGGATAGAAAGGAGGAATTTAGAATCATTTCTGGGACTTGTAGGGAATGATGTCAAGAAGGCCAAGTCTCGACTGGAAATGAGACGTGGAGAAAGTATCAAGGACAAGAGTTTCTGCTGCTCCATTAGTAGCAAAAATAAGGTGAACAAGCAAAATGTAGCCTGTTACTGAACAGAGTGGATGATTTAGTGACAGATAATGCTAGGATACTCAATGCTTTATTTGCCTCAGCTTTCACCAAACCTCTGTATTTTTTTGAAAGAGTTCAAGGAGGAGAACTATCATAGTGCATGAGGATTAGGTCAAGGTTTCTTTGAGAGAAATTGTTCCATGCAAGTCCTTGTGATTTGATGAAATATATTGGATGGTAATGAGAGTCTTGCAAGGGTACTTAAGTGTCATGCCTGAAAAATCAAGAAAACTGATGGAGATCAGTGATGCTTTTAGAAAAGCAAATGGTGCAACCATATTCAAAATAGTCAAAAGTAGGCGGAGAATTGTAAGCTTGTCTGCTCGTCTTCTGTCCCTTTGAAAATCATACAGAAGATCTTTTGAAAAACTTCTGACCATATGAAGGAGAAAGTGATTGAGCAAGGTCAATATGGGTTTACCAAAGAAAGCTAAATCATCTCTCACCAATCTGTTTGTCTTTTATGATGAAACAAGTAGATTTGTAGACAAAGAGGAGAGCAGTAGAAAGCATTTACCTTGACATCAGCAAGGCTTCCATTCAGTTTCCCACAAAACTCATGTATCATAATTAGAATGCTGCAGTCTGGATCGGTGGACAACTACATATGCAGAAAAATGGCTGTATGATTGGATTCCAAAGGTTGTGGTTAGCTGGTTGTACTTTACCTTGACGCCTTTGACAAGTGGAGTGTCTCAGGGGTCTATCCTGTCTCAGAGATGGACATTACAGATCACTACCTGTTATTCTTTCAGATTTAGATTACTCTCCTCAATCTACTTCCATTTTCTTGTCCTTTTATGTTATAATGACACTAATATATTGAGATGATTTTGTCTTTTCATTTAAAATGATTTCCTTTTTTTTTTTTTTTTTTACAGAATTTCCTCTTTTTAAATAGCAGGAGTAGTCTGATCATAATACAAATTTGAGGAAACATGAGACTGTATTTCTTCTTTCATTTAAGTTATAAACTTAATTTCCAAAGTTTT